AAAGTCGGGTGGTGGTGGTGGCGGGGCTTGAACCTCAGACCAGAGGGTCCGAAGCACGCCTGTGACAGTGACCAAACCACTGCGTCACCACCACCCATGGAAGAAGTTCAAGGGTGGGTAACATTAGACGCTACACAANACTGGGTCACATAGGTACCGTCAGGCTCCCTGGATGAGGCTCTGGAGATCATGGTACTGGGTGGTTAGAAACACTGAGTTATATGACTGAGTATAGAAAACAGTGGGTATCATGCATTTCAATTTCTTTTCTATCTTAGCCTACCAGAATTCTTCATTTTTGCTTTGAAACTGCGTTCAAATTTCCAGTCTTACCTCCATTCTTTTGTCCCAGTGGACAGGGAGGAAATGGAAGATAAAACCGTCAAAAAAGTGTCCGGCTAGTGATATTCGAAACTGAAAAAAATCTGGCATTGCCCGACATTTTACGCAATATCATGAACCCTACCCTTCTGTACTCTTTTGTATGATTTTCCGGCTGTTTATCTGGTCGATGAATGAAGACGGAAATGATGTTTAAATGAAAGTAAACAATGGCGTTGTTGGTTGCGCAGTGGTTTAGTCACTGTGACAGGCGTTCTTTGGACCTTATGGTCCGGGGTTCGAGCCCCGCCACCACCACCACCCGACTTTGGTGGTAGGCAGCTGTGCTGTCATCCGGTCGTCCGGAAACGACACAACTACGGCATTCGGGGACTTGTACTGGACTGGATAGAAGAATTTCTTAGACAACGCATCATGGCAGTTCGGGCTTCTGGTTCACTTTCTGATCCCATCAGCGTATCACGAGCAGTTTCACAGGGATCCGTGCTGGGCCCTGAACTTTTCCTTGTTTTCATAAACGACCAAACGGACATTCTCGGTCCACGTACATTAATGTTTGCAGACGATGCAAAAATATGGAAAACGGTGACAAAACCAGAGGACTCGCTGGAACTCCAATGAACCCTTAATGCTGCCTATCAATGGTCGATCGAAAATGACATGGAATTTAAAGCATCAAAATGTACGATCGTATCCCTTCAACATAAAACTCAGTTCCCGTATTTTCTAGGAGATCAACAACTT